CTGCTGCTGCTGCAGCAGCAGGAGACGTGCAGCTGCTGGTAGAAGACACGCGAGCAGCAGCAGAAGAAGGGCTTCTTGCTGAGGTTTGTTTTGACTCTGTTGCTGCTGCAGAAAAACCTGTTGCTGAGTTAGCAGCAGCAGCAACAAACTGTCTCCTCGCCCTATCATTACATTACAACAGCTGGCGCTCTACGGCTCTTCTGATACGTGTATGTTCTGCTGCTGCTTCTGCTGTTGCTGTTGCTGTTGCTGCTGCTGCTGTTGCTGCTGCTGTTGCTGCTGCTGCTGCTGCTGCTGTTGCTGTTGCCTCTGCTAGTGAGGCCACTGTGACTGGTGAGAGGTTTTGCTGACGCGCTTTTGCTGCTGCTGTTGTGCTGCCGCTGCTGCTGCCGCTGCTGCTGCTGTTGTTGCTGCTGCTACAGGCTATTCACATGCGGCTCTGCAGCAGCAGCAGCCCCTTCATTCGCTGGCGAGGGCTTTGTGCGGTGCGACGGATTGTGGCTGCTGCACCAGCTCTCCCTGACAGCAGCAGCAACAGCAGCAGCAGCAGCGACAGCGACATCAAGGAAGACGTGCATATATGGGTGCAGCTGCTGCTGCTGCTGTTTCCTAGGGGAGGGGACAGCTGTCTCCAGCTGTCTGCGCTTGCTCTGCATGTCTTTGAGTTGCTTGCTGCTAAGGCCCCACAAGGCCGTGCTGCAGCAGAAGCTGCTGCAGCAGCTCGCCATCACCATCACCATCACCAGCAGCAGCAGCAGCAGCAGCAGCAGCATATGCGGGAAGGAGGCGTGCATAAGCACATTAACTTTGGGGGGCTTCACAGTTCGATAGAGAGCAGGCAGCAGGAGGTGCTGCAGGAGAGGCAGCAGGAGCTGCTGCAGCGACAGCAGCACCAGCTGCTGCTGCTGCTGCGGCCCCACATACTGAACAATCCATCTGCAGCATATGATATTATCTGCATGTTGCTGCTTCCTCTTGCAGAGGCAGAAGCAGCTGCTGCACTCGTCTCTCTTCAGTGCCTCACTGAGCTGCTGTGCCCTTCTTCTTCTTCTGCTGCTGCTGTCTCCTTCTATTATCCGGGGTGTATGTGCAGCTTTAGTTGCAGCATTAGAAGCAAGAAGAGAGAGGCTTGCTGCTCGCTGGGCCTCGCTGAAGAGACTGCGGCAACGACTGGAGACAGTTGCTGCTGCTGAGGGCAGGGGACAGTGCGATGCTGCAATTGCAGCAGCAGCAGCAGCTGCTGCTGCTGCTGCTGCTGCGCCCGTATCCGGCATGCCCTGCATGCATAGGACCCCCGCAGCCGGCAGCAGCAAACAGCAGCAGCAGCACCAGCAGCAAGGTGACGGTGAAGGAGGAGACAAACATTTTGCTGCTGCTGCTTTGGAGTATGAGTCTCAGTTAGTGTGGCTGCAGCGGCTGCAGCACGAAGAGGGGCTGCTGCAAGCAGCAGCAGTTGAGTGTCTCCTTCGCCTCGCCCACGTTAACTTCGATGCTGTCTTCAGTCCCCTCACTTCCGCAGAACCTGCTGCAGCAGCAGCAGCAGCAGCAGCAGCAGCAGCAGCAGCAGGTAAAGCAGCTGCAGCAGCAGGAAAGCAGCGGGGCTACCGCAGGGGCTCTCTAGGGGACGGGAAAGCAGCTGCAGCAGCTGCCGCAGCAGCAGCAGCAGCAGCAGCAGCGCAGCAAAGGCGCAGCCCACAAGCACACCCGGCCCCTGTGTGGGGCCCCACAGGTCTTGCAGCAGGGCTGCTGGATCCGCTGCAGCTGCAGGAGACAGCAGCAGCAGCAGCAGCGCTGCAATGGAGCGGCTGCTGCTGCTTCTGCTGCAACAACTGCATACACCGTGGGATTGCAAGCGCTTTTGCGAGCAGCAAAACTCTTGCTGCTAAAGCTCTTGCGTACTTAACTAGAATATGCAACACCTCACCTGCTGCTGCTGCTGCTGCTGCTGCTGCTACTGCTGCTGCTGCTGTTGCTGCTGCTGATGTTGTGTGGGGTGTTGTTGAGTGTTTGCGTTTAGGCTATTTGGCTCTTCAAACCCTTCTTTGCTTCCGGGGCTTTTATCGTTTCTGTCTCCTTTCTGCAGCAACATATTTATTGCTTGGAGACACCCCGCTATGGCTGCTCTTCAAGGTGCTGCAGCAGCACTTCATGCTGCTAATCTGTCTCCTTTTGCTTATCATACTGTTGCTGATAAAAGCAGCAGCACATACACACTCGAAGCACAGCAGCAGCAGCAGCAGCAGCAGCAGCAGCACAGTTGCAGCTCGTGGTCTTCGTTGCTGCCTGATGGTTTTCTTTCTTCTTTAGCGATGGAGAAACCAGCAGCAGCAGCAGCAGCAGCAGCAACACTTCCTGCTGCTGCTGCTGCAGGAGGGCAGGGGCCCTCCCAGGAGACTCTCCCCCAGGCGCAGCGAATGCTGCTGCTGCTTGCTGCAGCAACAGATGCAGCAGTAGATGCAGCAGCATTGACGCTTGAAGACCTACACCCTCAGCTGCTGCTTCTAGAGAAGGTCTCCGCAGAGAAAGATGCTGCTGCTGCTGCTGCTGCTGCGGCAGCAGCAGCAGCAGCAGAAGGCGAAGCAGCAGCAGACAACACCCTTGCTGCTGAGTCGCTGCACTGTCTCCGTTCTGCTCTCGGGTGTCTCCAAGCGCTGACGCACTTGTGGGTGGGGCTTCATAAAGCCACAGCAGCAGCAGCAACAGCAGCAGCAGCAGCATCTGCTGCAGCAGCAGCAGCAGCAGGAGAAGGAGAAGGCCCGGGTGCTGCTACAGCACGCCCCCAACCAGCACAGGTAAAACCTGCAGCAGCTGCAGCAGGAGCTGCTGCTGCTGCTGCTGCAGGTTGCGCAGCATTTGGAGATGAGGGAAGGGCTTTGAGGGTCTTAGAAGCTGTAGAAATTGTGAGTGGAGCGGCAAGCGATGGCGTGCTGCTGCTGCTGCTGCTGCTGCTGCTGCTGCTGCTGCTATACCTGTTGCTGCTGTTGCTGCTGTTGCTGTTGTTGCTGCTGCAGCTGTTACTGCTGTTGCTGCTGCCGTTAGCTGCACTGCTCCCGTGGCTGCTGTCTTTTTATTTTCCCTGCCGCCCGTTGCTGCTGCTGCTGGGCTAGCTACTTGTTGCTGCTGTTGCTGCAGCTGCTGCTGTTGCTGTTGCTGTTGCTGCTGCTGCTGTTGCTGCAGGGGTTTGCGGTGTATCCTGCGCTACGCTGTCTCTCCGCTTGGCGGCAGCAGCAAGA